GATAGGAAAGGTATGAAGGATCGGGAAGTTGATTTGTTTGTTATTTTCCTAACTACTATTTATTGGTTGATATTGTTTGAAACACACACACACACACACACACACACACACACACACACACACACACACACACCACACACACACACACACACACACACACACACACACACACACACACACACACCCCCCCCTTCCCCATCCCCTACCCAACCCAACCCCCCATCCCTCCTCCAACCCTCCCCAACCATCCCTCATCCCCATCCCACCCTCCTCCAACCCACCTCCAAACCCTCCCCCATCCCTCCCCCCCTCCGCCCAGCAGCAGCGGCGGCCGCGCGTGTGCGTCTTTGCGAGGTCTTAAGTCAAGACTATGAAAAGACCGGGGCACCTTCCGGGTCAGTGAGCCAGGACAAGCGCGAGTTAGGAGGAAGAGGAGGAGGAGGAAGGAGGAGGAGGAGGGGGGAGGGAGGGAGGGAGGGAGGGAGGAGAGGAGGCAGGAGGAGGAGGAGGAGGAGAGGAGGAGGAGGAGGAGGAGGAGGAGAGGGGAAGAGGGAGGGAGGAGGGAGGAGGAGGGAGAGGGAAGAGGGAGAGGAGGGGGAAGGAGGAGGAGGGAAAGAAGGAGGAGGAGGAGGAGGAGGGAGGAGGAGGGAGGGAGGGAGGGAGGGAGGAGGGAGCGAGGGAGGGAAGGGAGGGAGGGAGGAGTAGGAGGAGTAGGGAGGGGAAGAAGGGAGGGAAGAGGAGGAGGAGGGAAGGAGGAGGAGGGAGGGAGGAGGAAGAGGGAGGGAGGAGGGAGGAGGGAAGGAGGGAGGGAAGGAGGAGGAGGGAGGAGGAGGAGGAGGGGGGGAAGAGGGAGAGGAGGAAAATGGGGAGGTAGGAAAGAGGAAATTGTGGAAAGGGACAGGATAAGAGCAAAGGAAAAGAAAAGACAAGAAGGAGAGAGAAAGAGAGAGAGAGAGCAGAAAGAAAGAGAAAGGGAAGAGAGAAGGGGCAAAGAGGAGAAAGTAGGGGTGGGAGGGGGAGAGTTGGCAGCAGGGACAAAGACTTGATAATTGTAGGCCCGCGGAGTATGGCGCTGGGGGTGAGGGGGGGAAGGGGGGTGGGGGGGACGCGTTGATTACAGGCAGGAAAGACTCGCTCGAAAAAATGACAACTGGAATGACTTTTCTTGGGGGGGGGGGCGGGAAGGGGGTAGGGGGTGGGGCGGTGCCCTGGCCCTGGGCGTTTCTGTGTGTTTGTTTGTTTTTGTTGGATTTGTTGGATCTCCGGGTCTGTGTGTATGTCTGGTTGGGCATCGTGTTAGACATGTGTGTATTTATCTGGCTTGAGCTTGTGTGTAGACATGTGTGTGTTTCTGTTTATATGTGTGTGTGTGTTTTGACCAACATTTTTTTTTATATTTAGAAAAGAAAATGAAGCGAAAGGAAAGAAAACGTATACTAATAACAGAAACAAAAAGCGATAAAAGAAAGATAAGAAGTAAAAAGATAACAAAGGCATATTTTTACGAATCGATAATAAACAAGGAAAAAGTTATTAAAGATTTCGTGACAGTGAGATCTTAGCGACGTCTCGGAAGACAGTGACAGTTGTATTTCTCGCGTCGATCCAGCGTCTCTCTCTCTCTCTCTTTCTTTTTTTTCTCTTTTCTTTCTTCTTTCTTTTTCTCTTTCTTTCTTCTCTTTCTCTTTCTCTCTTTCTCTCTCTCTCTCTCTCTCTCTCTCTCTCTCTCTCTCTCTCTCTTCTCTCTCTCTTCCTCTCCCCCTCTCTCTCCCTCTCTCCTCTCCCTCTCCTCCTCCCTCCCTCCCTCCCCCTCCTCCCTCCCTCTCTCTCTCTCTCTCTCTCTCTCTCTCTCTCTCTCTCTCTCCTCTCTCTCCTCTCTCTCTCTCTCTCTCCCTCTCCCTCTCTCTCCCTCTCCCTCTCCTCTCCCTCTCCTCCCCTCCCCTCTCCCTCTCCCTCTCCCTCTCCTCCCTCTCCCTCCCCCTCCCTCTCCCTCCCTCCTCCCTCCCTCTGGCTCTCCTCTCCCTCTCCCTCCCTCCTCCCCTCTCTCTCTCCTCTCTCTCTCTGGCTCTCCCCTCCCTCTCCCTCTCCCTCTCCCGAGCTCTCCCTCTCTCGGCTCTTGGTTCCGGCAGCCTCTCGAGATTGTGTCCTCTTGTCGAATGCACTTTACGTCTGGGATGTCAGTCCGGGCGAAAGAACGTTGACGGAATAGATATAGGAAAAAAGCAATGAAGAAAGTCAACGGAATATTGATCGTATACCTGTTTACGTTTAGATTCTGTTTTTGTTGGTTGTTGTGTTTTAAGTATGTTCTGTTTTTTTTCATATATTTTTTCTCTTTCTTTCTCTCTTTCTCTCTCTCTTCTCCTCTCTTCTCATCGTCTCTCTCTCTCTCTCTCTCTCTCTCTCTCTCTCTCTCTCCTCTCTCCTCTCTCTCTCTCTCTCCTCTCCTCTCTCTCTTTCTCTCCTTCCTCTTTCCTTCCTTCTTCCTTCCTTCCTTCCTTCCCTCCTTCCCTCCTTTTTCTTCTTCCTCCCAAATCTAAGAATCAAGCAGGATGGAAATATATGCACATACATTTTGTACGTGCTTCAGGAGACCCTGTGGGAGGGGGGGGTTGGAGAAGGAAGGAGGATGGGGTGGAGAGACCGGGAGAGAGGGGGGGGGAAGCCGGGACGGAATGATGAGAGACTGAGGGAGAGAGAGAGAGAGAGAAGAAGAGAGAGAGAAGAGAGAGAGAGAGAGAGAGAGAAGAGAGAGATGAGAGAGAGAGAGAGAGAGAAGAGAGACGAGAGAGAGAGCCCACGGAGAAGAGATGAGAGAGAGACCGGGAGGGTGGGAGGGGGAGGGGCGAGACCGGGCGCTGGGACCGGAAACGCGGCGCTGGACAAACGATCCTCGGGGGAGAGTGCAAGCATCAGTAATACGCTATTATTACACCGCCAAAGAGGAGAGGAAATTTTGCGGCCGCTGCTGCTGGTGGGTGGCGTGGGGGGGGGGGGTTTGGGAGTTGGGTGGTTAGGGTTTTTTGGGGGTTTGGTGGGTTGGGGTGGATTGGGGTTAGGGGGTGGGTTGGGGGGGGTTAATGGAGGTGGTTGGGGGGTTATGGATGTGGGTGGGGGGTTTTGGGGTGGGGGGGGTTTGGGGGAGGTTGGGGGTCAGGGGGTGGGTTGAAGGGTTGGGGTTTGGAGGGGGGAGGGGGTGGGTTGAAATGGCGTTAGGGAGAGGTGAGTTGGGGTTAGGGTAAGGAATAGGAGGGTTAGAGGTTCGGGAAGGGGACTACGTGTTTGGGTTTAGTTCATGGAGAAGGGGTTGGGGTGGATTATTGGGGTTTGGTGGGTTAGGTTAGGTCGGGGTTATATGCAAGGGGTAAAAGGAACTACAAGTATGCTTCTCTTTCTCTTTCGGAAGTGGTGGGAATTGAGGTGTAAATTAGATTCGTTTGTTGTATATGTATTTTTTCTGTAGTGTCTTCTTTTTTATTGGTCTATCTATCTATCGGTCTGTCTGTTATCTCGCTTTCTCATTTAAAATTATTACTTGTTATTATTGCCGTCATCCTTTTAAAATATTTTACTCGCTTTACCTTTGTTATTCTGCTTCGCTCTTATCGCTCCACCTCTCTACCTCTCCCTCTTCTCCCCTTCCCTATTGCCTCCCCTTTCGTTTCCCTCCTCCATTCCCTCAGGCGCCCTCCTCTTTCCTCTCCCCTCTCCCTCTCTGTCCCTTCTCCTTTGTGTTCGTCCTCTCTATTCCCTTCTCTGTCTCCTTTTGTCCCTCTCGCCTCATTTCTCAATTTTTTCCCCTCTCCTCTCCCTTCACTCTTCTATCTCTCTATACTCTTCCCCTTTCCCTCCCTCATTTTCCCCTCCACTCTCCTCCCCCTCCTTCCACTCCCCTTCCCTCTTTCCTCCCACTCCCCCCTCTCTCCACCCTTCCCTCTCCTCACATTCCCCTCCACTTCCATCCTCTTCCCCCTCCCTCCTCTCACTCCCCCCTTCTCTCTCTTCTCTCACTCCCCCCTTCTCTCCACTCTCCCCTCTCCTCTCCCCCTCCCTCCTCTCCTCCCTTTCCTCGCCCTCCCTCCTCTCACTCCCCCCTTCCCTCACTACTTCCCCTCTTCCCTCCCCATCTCCCCCTTTCTCCCCTCTTCCCCTTCCTCCCCTCCCTCCTCTCACTCCCCCCCTCCCCTTCCTCTCACTCCCTTCTCTCCCCCTCCCTCCCTCCCTTCCCTTCTCCCCCTCTTCCTCCCCCTTTCTCCCCCTCTCCCCTTCCTCCCCCTCTTCCTCCCCTTTCTCACGAGCGAGTTAACAGCGGCGGTCTGTGCTTGCCCGCGGCCATCATGTCGACGCCACTAACACTGTCCACAACTATGACTTGGAATCTGCAATGGAAATTACGATATCAAGGGAACTGTTGTGGGAATGAGGAACAGGAGGAGGAGGGAAGGAGGGGAGGGAGGGGGAGGGGGAATGAGGAAGGGGGAGGAGGTGGAGGGTGGGGTGGGTGGAGGTGGGGTGGGGTAGGGGTGGGGTGGAGGTGGGAGTGGAGGTAGGGGGGGGGGGAGGGGGAGGTGGAGGTGGGGGTGGGGTGGAGGTGGGGGTAGAGACGGAAGGGGAGAGGGAATGAGAGGAGGAAGGGTGGGAAGAGAAAGGGGGAGTGGGAGGAAGAGGGAAAGGGGAGGAGGAGGAGGGAGGGAATACGAAGGAGGGGGGGAGAGAAAGTGAACGAGGTAGCAGAAACGTAAGGAAGGGAAGCAGAAATAAAGAGAGAAAGAGAGAGAGAGAGAGAGAGAGAAGAGAGAGAGAGAGAGAGAGAGAGAGAGAGAGAGAGAGATGAGAGAGAGAAGAGAGAGAAGAGAGAGAGAGAGAAAGGGGAGAAGGAAAACGGAGAGGAGAAGAGAAAGGGAGAGGGAGCAGGCAATTAAGAAGCGAGAAACCGCAGCACCCGATAAGAAACAACCAAAATAGAAATAAGAAAAGACACGCGAATGATAACCTTGCAGACGCCCAACGCCCATGGATCATCCTCAAGTGACTCTTCAAGGATGAGCTGAGGAAGAGCGCCGCTGGAGGGAAGGAAGAAGAGGAGGAGGGGGAGGGGGGAGGAGGGAGAGGAGGCGGAGAGGGGGGAGGAAGGGGGAGAGGGAAGGAGGGGGGGAGGAGGAGGAGGAGGAAGAGGGAGATGGGAGGGGAGGCCGCTGGAGGGAAGGAAAGAGGGGAGCAGGGAGAGGGGAGGGAGGTAAGGAGGAAGGAAAAGGAAGAGGGAGATGGGGAGGAAGAGGGAGAGGGGGGAGGGGAGGAGGAGGGGGAGGAGGGGCGCTGTGGCTGAACACAACCCAGGCACCCGCGAGTGGCACCTGGGTGTTGGGGGGCCATTCAAGTGCCACGTGCTGCCTCCTCTTTCCCTTCGCCTCACCGACACCGGGATGTGTGTTGTGTCGTGGGCGGGGGCGGTGGGGGAGGGGTAGTGTGTTTGTGTGTGTGTGGATGTGGGTGGGGATGGAGGCGGGGGACGGGGCGTAAGTGTGTGTGTGCGTGCGTGCGCGCGCTCGCGTTTGCCCCCATTCTTTCCTCTCCACTCTCCTCTCTTCCTTCCTTCCTTCCTTCCTTCCTTCCTTCCTCCTTCCTTCCTTCCTTCCTTCCTTCCTCCTTCCCCCTCCCCTCCTCCCCTCCCTCCCTCCCTCCCTCCTCCCTCCCTCCCTCCCTCCCTCCCCCTCCCTCTCCCTCTCCTCTTTCCTCCCTCCTCCTCTCTTTCCCTTCCCCCCTCTTCAACCCCCCCACCCCCACCCCCACCCTCACCGAAGTATATCTGGAACCGAGTCCGTCCGCCTTTGTACGAGAGGAGGGGGGGAGAGGGGGAGAGGGGAGGGGTTGGAGTTCGCCTATTTTGGACCTTGATAAACCCTTTCAAACGGATGGATTGGATTCCCGCGCTGGTGGTGGAGTGGGCAGCGGCTAGTGGGGAGGTTGGGGGGGGGTTGGGGAAAGGGTGGAGGGGTCGAGGTTATTTGGGGTGGAGGGTTGGGGGTGGTGGGGGTTGGGAGGGGTTGGGGAAAGGGTGGAGGGGTTTGGGTAGAGGGTGATGGGGTTTGGGGTTTGGGTGATGGGGAGGGTGAGGTGATGGGGTTTGGGAGGGTGATGGGTGGGGTGAGGGTGGGGGGGTTGGAGTGAGGTTGGGGGAGTTGGGTAGAGGGGGGGGAGAGAGGGTAGAGGGTTTTTGGGCTAGGTTGCGGGGGGTTGGGGGAGAGGTCTGGGAAGGATAGAGAGGGTTTAGGAGGTGGGGATAGTGGGGGCGGTGGAAGTAGGTAAGAGTGGGGAGGAAGAGAGAGGCACATCAGTAAATGTTCGATTCAGCAGATTTTCCCATCTCTCTTCTCTTGTCTATTTATCTGTCTATCTATCTGTCGACCTTTCTAGCTACCTCTTTCTCTTTATCTCTCTTATGTCTGTCCACTTCCATAAATTACCTGGAAAATTATGTTGTTTTTTCATTATTTGTTCATTATTATTTATTATTTATTTTTTTTTTTTTATAAAGATCGCATCATTAACAAACACCTTCATCATCATTAGTTAACTGTCATATTCCTGATCTTGATTTTATTTAATTAATTCCTTCCTTCTCATTGTTAATATTGTCTCCACTTTTTTTTTTTTTTTTTTTTTTTAAGAAGTCGAAAAGGAACTAAAAAAAATTAAGGAAAGAAGGAAAGACAGCTCATTTTGGCCGCCAATCGAAGGTCGTAAAATGCAGAGTCCTGTGCATTTTATTGTCGTCTGATCGCCATTTTATTCCTGATTGGGGGAGGGGGGGGGGGGTCTGAGACGTGGAAGAAGGTGGGGGGTTGGGTGGGAGGGGTTGTAAGGGGGTACTCTTACTTTCTCTATCTCTGCCTGTCTGTCTGTCTGTCTGTCTTTCTGTCTCTCCCCCCCCTCCCCTCTCTCTCTCTTCTCTCTCTCTCTCTCTCTCTCTCTCTCTTCTCTCTCTCTCTCTCTCTCTCTCTCTCTCTCTCTCTCTCTCTCTCTCTCTCTCTCTCTCTCTCTAGAGAAGAAGAAAAAGGAGGAGGAGAAGTATAAGGAGATAGATAGCGAGGGGGAGCGAAGAGAAAAGGTCGAGAAAGTATAAGGAGAAATGGAAGGAGGAATAGGAAGAGGATGAAAGCGAATGAGACGAATAAGAGGAGAAGAATAAGAAGAAAGAGGAGGGGGGGGGAGCAAGGAAGAGAACAAGGAACAATGAACATGAAGAAAAATTAGATGAAAGGAGCAAGGAGGAAGGAATGGAGAACGAAGAAAGGGAGGAAGAAGAAATATAGTAAAAAAGAAAAAAGTAAGAAAAGAGCGCAAAGAAATGCACAATAAGACGAAGAACAAAACAAGAAAAGGTGGAAGAAAGAGGAGACGAAGAAAGAAAGAAAAAGGGGGAGAAAAGGAAACGAAGAAAAAGAAAGAAAGAAAGGGACGAAGAAAGAAAGAAAAGGGAAAAAGAGGAAGAAAGAAAAAAAAAAAGAAAGAGGAAAACGAAGAAGAAAAAAAAAAGAAGAAAGAGGAGACGAAGAAGAAAAAAAAAGAGGAAAGAAAGAGAAGACATAAGGACAAGAAGACGGAAGGAGGAGGAAGGGGGGAACAAGGGAGCGAGGAGGAGCGAGAGCAAGGCGTCGAAAAAGAAAGAAAAGGGAGAGAAAAGACGGAAACGAAGAAAAAAAAAAAAAGGAAGAAAGAGAAGAAACATAAGGACAAAGAAGACGGAAGGAGGAGGAAGGGGGAACAAGGAATTGAGGAGGAGCGAGAGCAAGGCGACCGACTTGAGGTCCAGCCAAAGCTAGCGAATAATGCCGCTTCCTTTGTGTCGACGCTGAAGCCGGCCCTGTGTTGGGGGGTGGGGGGGAAGGGGGGCGAGGTGGGGGTGAGGAGGAGGAAGGAGGGGGGAGGAGGGGGGAGGGAGGGAGGGAGAGGGAGGAGGGCGGAGGGAGGGAGAGGAGGGAGGGTGGAGAGTGGAGGTGGAGGGAGGGAGGGAGGGAGGGAGGGAGGAGGAGGAAGGGAGGAAATAGGGGAGGAGGAGAGTGGAGAGGGAGGAGGAAGAGGGAGGGAGGGGAGAATAGGAGGAGGAAAGGGGGGAGGGAATATGAGGAGGAGGAGAGGAGTATGATGAGGAGGGACAGTAAAGGAAGGAAGAGGAAGAGGAAGGAATTGTATTGGATTCGGGGGGGAGGTGGGGAAGGGGGGTGCTTTGTGGGAGGGGGGAGGTAAATCGTGGTTGGTGGGGGGGGGGTAAGGGCAAGTGGACGCCTAGGACACTTTACTGGAGAAGAGTTTACTGTAGTTTTTATTCTTCTGTTTTTTAGTAAATCTATTTATGCATTTGCCCTTTTTTATTTTTTTTAAATCTCACCTTTTATGTTTAATCCTACTTTTTTATGGGTAGGTTTATGTTTGTGTTTATTTACCTGTTTGTCTTATCATTTTTTTTTTTTTTTTTCTTTTTTTTTTTTTTTTTTTTGCTTTAAGTTTAGTGATTTTTTTCTATTTCGTCGTCGGGCTGTTGCTTACGATTGTAATTATTTGTGTTATTGCTACTTATTAAAGATCAAAGTGTAGCAACTTTCATTTCGTTATTGGCATGATAATAATGATTATCATAATTTTTATGTTTACACCCTACCATTTTTTATTTTTTTGTTTTATTTTTTGCGTTGTATTTATTATCACTGTAATTTTCTATATTACGGATGTTATTGTAGTTTTGTTGTATCCTCATCGCCAACAGTATATCATTTTATGTATCATCTTTTGTATTTGATGTCTTGGACTTGGATGTCAGGAAGAGGAAGAAAAGGGGGAGGGAGGGGGCGGGGGAATGGGGGAAGGGGGAAAGGGGTGGGATGGGGTGGGGAAAGGGGTGGGAGGGGAAAGTGGGGGAAAGGGGAGGGGAGGGGGGCGGGGTGGGAGGGGAGGAAGGGGAGAGGGGAGGAGGTGGGAAGGGAGGGGGGAAAGGGGGGGGAGGGGAAAGGGTGTAGGGGGGGGGGTTGTAGCGGAAGAACCACCGGAGGTAAAAATATTTCGAACCGGATTCAATCTTATCCGAATTTCTCGCTACTTTTCTGGGTGGCGAAACGTTGTCGTCGTCGCCAGATTCCGAGATCGTGTGTACGTGTGTGTACGTTTTGGAAGTGTCTACGGGTGTGTACATGTGTTGATGGGGGAGATGTTTGCGCGTGTGTGTGTGTTGAGGCGACGGGAGGTGTGTGTTATTATTATTATTGTTCCTGTTGTTGCTATTGTTATTATCACCATCATCATCACCACCATCACAAATAATGATAAAAATAATGATAATGATAATGATAATAATACTGATAATGATAATAATAAACTATAACCATCATTATCATCATCATCATTATTTTCATTGTCGTCATTATTATTGATATTACTAATACTAATCATTACCATTGCTAATATTACTCTGACTATTGCCAATATTACCATCACTAACTTGTCCGTTTCCTCCTATTCCAGGCTTCGGTTTCGTGACCTTTGAGAGCGAAGATGTTGTGGACAAAGTGTGTGAGATTCACTTTCACGAAATCAACAACAAGATGGTGAGTACAGTGTTCGAATGTGACGGAGATTCTGGCGGTTGGCTTGTGTGATAGTGAGGGTGTGATAGTGAGTGATGGTGACTTGTGTGTTTTATTTCGTGTGTGATTTTTTTTTTTTATTCGGTTTCTTTGGTTGGGTTGTGTGTGGAGGTTGTGAAGGTGTGTTGTTAATTATTGTTTTTATGGTGATTGTTTTTGGTTTATGGTGAGATTCAGTATGGTGGCTTGGATTGGATGATGTATGAAGGATGGTATATGTATGTGTATAGTATGTATGCATGCGTGTGTGTGTGTGCGTATGGGTTTGTGTGTGTGTGAGTGAGTGTGACTGCTTTTGAGGACGTGTTTATGATTTATTTCGGGTTGATTCAGTTCCATTTTAGTGTGGAATGTCAACCTTCGTGATTTATTTTGATGTTATATGTTTCCTTTCGATGCCCGCCCCTCCCTCCCTTCCCTCCCTCCCTCCCTCCCTCCCTCCCTCCCCCTTCCTTCCCTCCCTCTCCCTACCCAACCCCTAATGTGTCTTCCTGTACCCTCCTTCCCCTCCCCTTTCCCTCCCCCCTCCTCCCTCCCCCTTCCCCTCCCCTCCCCTCCCTCCCTCGCCCCTTCCCCCTTCCCTCCCCCCTCCCCTCCCCCTCCCCCTTCCCCCTCCCCTCCCTCCTTCCCTTCCCCCTTCCTCCCCCTCCCCATCCCTCCTTCACTCATCCAACCAATGCCTTATACCGGATATAGCTACCCCATCGATGTCTTATACTGGAGCAAGATGGTTTGGCCTCCCTCCATCCCCCCTTCCGCCCACCCCAACTCCCTCCATCCCCCTCCTTCGCCCACCCGCACCCCTTCTCCCTCTATCCTCCTCCGCTCCCCTGTTCATCCTCGCTCCATCCTCTGCCTTCCTCTTCCTCTTCCCCTTTGTCACTCTTCCCTTCCCTCCTTTCCTCGTCTTCTCCAAAGCGCCCCTCCCTCTCTCCTCCTTCCACATTCCTCCATCCGCTTTTCCTTCGCCCTCCCTCTTTCCCTCCCAGTCCCTCCCCATTGCTCCTCTCCGTTCTCTCCCCAGCTCTCCCCTCCTCCCCTCCTCCTCCTTCCCATCCTCCCCTCCTCATCCCATTCTCTCCCTCCACCTGGTTCCTCATCCCTCCCCATCCTCCCTCCTCTTCATCCTCCCCATCCCTCTCCATCCCTCTCCCATCCTCTCCCATCCCTCCCCCCATCCCTCCCCCCTCCCCCCATCCCCTCTCCATCCCTCCCCCCATCCCCTCTCCATCCCCTCCTCCCTCCTCGCCCCCCCCCTCCTCCCCTCCTTAGCCCACCTCCTCCTAGCTACGTTGATAGATTACATGTACCTAAAAGGGCGAGGGGTCTCAATGGGAGAGATATGGCGACCGGGTATGGCGGCCATATCAGGAATACGCGACGTTCCATTTCTCTGGGAACCACAGGGTTGGGACGGGGTCGGGGGGGGGGTAGGGGGGGAAGGGGGGGGAGTGTATAGGAATCGGGTGTATTTTCATAAGAACAGAAGAAACAGATCTGATAAAAAGAAACGGAAGGAGAAAGAAATGAAACAAACACATTGTTAGAAATAAGGCAGGGAGCAGAGACAGAGAAAGAAAGAAAGAAAGGAAAAAAGGAAGAAGAAAAAAGGAGCGAGAAGGAAAGGAAGAGAAAATGAGAGAATGAGATTGGTTGAGGAGGTGGGATGAGAAGAGCTCTCAGACGAGGGGAAATGGAGGTGACATATGAAGATGGCGATGGGGAAGGTCTTGCAGTCTTCAGTAGACAATATCCCGGAGTTGGGAGTAGAGGGGAAGAGGAGAGAGAGAAGGGAGAGGGGGGAGAAATGGGAAATAGAGAGACAGGGGTGGGATAGAGATGGAGAGGAGAGAGAGGGGATGAGAAGGAGAGGAAGAGAGGAAGAAGCGAGGAGAGAGAGAGGGTAGGTGATGGAGAGGAAGCGAGGAGAGATAGAGGAGAAATGGGAGATGGAGAGGAGAGGAAGAGAGAGGGGAAGGGACGAGGAGAGAGAGGGAAGAGAAGAGGAAAGAGAGGGAGGAGAGGAAGAGGGAGGGGAAGAGGGACGAAAGAAGAGAGGGGAAGAGAAGAGGAAATAGAGGGAGAGGGGAGAAAGGGGAAGAATGGAGTGAGAGAAAAGGGAAGGAAGAGAGGGAGAGAGGAGAATGAGAGGAAGAAAGGAGGGAGAGGAAAGCGAGGAGGGAAGGGGGGAGAGGGAAAGCGAGGAGGGAGGGAGGGAGAGGGGAAGAGAAGAGGAGAAGGAGATAGGGGGAAGCAAGTAGGAACGGCGGGAGGGAAACGAGGAAAAGAAAAAAAAAGAGAGAAAATGAGAATGGAAGGAACAGGAAAAAAAGGCAGGAGAGGGAGCAAGGAGAGAGATGATGAGAGCAGGAGCAAGGGAGAGGGATAGGGGGGGGGAGGAGGAGGGAGAGCGAAAATGTCTCTTAGTTGAGAATTGCTGCTTGAGGGGGAAGAGGGAAGGGCCTCGACCTCCTCGCGATAAGGATGTGAGTCTTCTTTGCTTACTGAGGGGAGGAGAGGGAGAGGGAGGGAGGGGAGAGGGAGAGAGGGAGGAAGGAGGGGGAGGAGAGGGAGAGGGAGGGAGGAGGAAGAGGGGAGAGGGAAGGAGGGAAGATGGAGATGGAAGGGGAGGGAGGAAGGAGGGAAGGGGAGGGAAGGGAATGACAGGAAGAGGGGAAACGGGAAGGAGGGAGTGGGAAGGAGGGAAGGAGAGGGGGACGGAGGGGAAGAGGGAGAAAGGGAGAAACAGAGGGAGGGATAGATAAAGGTAAGATAGAAAGGGACTGAAAAGGGAAAGAAAAAGAAAAAGGGAGGAAAAAAGTAAAGGAGAGAGACCTGAAAAAGGAGAATAAAAGAATCAAAAGAGAAAGTGGAAAGTAAAACCAGAAGAAAACGAAAGAGAAAATAAAAGACACAAAATGAATCAAAAAAAAAACATTCTTTTTAAAAAATCAAATCAAAACACATTTCTAAATAAAAAAATAAAAAAAAAAAAAAAAACAAACAAAAAGAAAAAAAAAAAATTCTAAAGAAACAAACAAACCAAAAAAAAAAAGGAAAACCAAAGAGACAGCGAAAGGGGACATCGCGAGGGCGCGAGGTCCCTCTCGGGCGCGCGTTCCATTCCATAGATTTCCAGACTCGTCCGCCCGCAGCCCTTGAGTGATCCCCGCAGCGCATGCCTCAGGGTGTCAATACGATGTCCTGTGCATTCTCCTGACATCTGTTCCCGGCCGGCAGATGTCACGGGAGACTGCGCCGCCCGCCTAACAATGCCACGGTATTTTCGGAATGTTGCTGTACGTGCAGTCCATTGTCTCGCGCGGGGGAACATCGACATGCACGCCCGCATCACGCACGGACGCGGGCGTGTCTTCTACTCGCGGGCGGGTGTCTGTGTCTCTCGGCGCGGGGGGTTGGGTGGGTGGTTTGGTTGTTTGTTTGTTTGGTTGGTTGGTTGGTTTTGTCTGACTCTTTCCTTCTATCTCTCTTTCTCTTTCTCTTCTCTCTCTCTCTTCTCTCTCTCTCTCTCTCTCTCTCTCTCTCTCTCTCTCTCTCTCTCTCTCTCTCTCTCTCTTCTCTCTCTCTCTCTTTCTTTCTCTTTCTCTTTCTCTTCTCTCTCTCTCTCTCTCTCTCTCTTCTCTCTCTCTCTCTCCTCCTCTCCTCTCTCTCTCTCTCTCTCTCTCTCTCTCTCTCTCTCCTCTCTCCCTCTCCCCTCTCCCTCTCCTCTCCCTTCCTCCCCTCCCTCCCCCTCTCTCTCTCTCTCTCCTCTCCCTCTCTCCCCCCTCCCTCTCTCCCTCTCTCCTCTCCCCTCTCGCTCTCTCTCTCTCTCTCTCTCTCTCTTCCGTACACATGTTTTGAGATTCGCCAAGGATTAGGAGAGTCCCCGCAGTGGGATCTTGGTCTGTTCAAATATTTGTTGGTGATTTAGTGGTATGAAAGGTGGGGATCTCAGGTATGCCGTCGGCGGATTGGGGTAGGAGAAAGAAGGGAGGGAGAAAGAGGAGAGAGAGAGAGAGAGGGAGAAGGAGGAGGGAGAGAGAGAGAGGGAGAAGGAGAAGAGAGAGAGAGAGAAGGAGGAGAGAGAGAGAGAGAGGAGAGGAAGGAAAGAGGGAGAGAGAGAGAGAGAGATGAATAAAAGGGGGGTAAATGGCATTGTTGTAGCAAGAGGAGAGCGAAAGAGATGAGAGCAAGACAGAGAGAAAGGAAAGAGAAGTAAAATGATTTTGAGTTAAAAAAAAAAGTAGAACAGAGAATGAGAGAGAAAATTTACAGTAAAGAAAATAATAATGATTATGAATAATCCTCAGACAGAGAGATACAAAGGATACTTGCCATAAATATAAAACAAAAAATACACCGTGAGAGGATAATGAATGCATAAAAAAGGTGTAAAAAATAAAAGAAATATAAGTATCCAAAGTTTTGAACTCGACGGTTTTTTTGAAACGAAAGAGAAAAGGAGGAAGAAGGGAAAGGAAAAATACCACAGACAAAGGCAAGAGGTACGAAGTGTCTAGGGGTGAGAGAGGGGAGAGGGGGGGGGGGAGTGAAGGGTGATGGCTTAATAAAATAAAAGAGAGAAACGTGGGGTCGAAGAGAGAGAGAGAGAGAGAGAGAGGGAGAGAGAGAGAGAGAGAGAGAGAGAGAGAGAGAGAGAGAGATTGAGAGAGACAGAGACAGAGACAGAGATGAACAGAAGAGGAAACGACCAAGAAACGTAATGAAAGAGACGAGATTAAAGAGCACGGATTAAAAAAAAGAAAAAAAAGGGACAGCGGAAAGGAGGTAATAAATGCCGACATTGAACGCAAAAGGGAACAGAGAGAGAGACGAAGAGAGAGAAAGAGGGTTTAAAAATCAGGTTCGGAAAAAAGAAAAGGAAAAAAAAAAAAAGATAAAAGGAAGATAAAAAAAGGGGCTTTTGAGGTTAAAAGAGGGGAAAGACGGAGAGAGAGGAG